GAATGGGATACAGAAGATTCTGGAAGGTTTAGTACAAGGTCAAAGGTTCAAAGAAACTGCTTTAAAGACTTAGTGGCTATGGCATATTTTCACCGACATCGGCCAGGGTCATTGGTAGGCAGAGGTAGGTGGATGGATACGGAAACATAGTGGTTAAATAGGGAACCTACAAGTGGGTTCCAGGTATGGCAACTAGTGTAGAACCTTCGGGCAGACTATTTAAATTAGACAATGACTAAAGTTGTACAAGTGGCTAGTTGTACGCTCTTCCCATGGTTGCCCCCTGTGGTTGTAATACAACCATTAGCCAAATATACTATCAATAAAATCCTGGGTTGCAAGTACTCACCTTAATATTTAAAAAAAAAAAGTTTTATCAAATTTAATTATAATTTTATTTTTAATTTTAATCTATTCACATCATGCTAATTCTAATACAAGATTGATCCTTTATAAGTGGGTTTTCTTACAAATTTTTTATTTTTTCTGAATACAAAATAGAATAATCTCTCAAAAAAAGAATGATGCACTAATAAAACCTGTTCTCAGCTATTTAGTGATAAATAAAGTAACCTTAGCATAGGTATAAATGACTTAATATGTTGCAACATAGCATTAGTATACAATGCTTTTCGAATAAACAGTTGGCCAGACCAGTTGGCGATGATTGGTATAACCTGATCATGCACATTTTTATTAATTGATAAAATGAGCCTTAAAACACCAAGATAGTCTTGCACTGAATATAAGTACTGTTCCTTAAAACCAATTAATTTGAGTCTATTCATTGAACATTCTTCTTTTCTTTCTGTAATGTGATTATCATAACTATGTAATATAAGCATTTCAATCTGATCAAATTTGTTAGTAATTTGATATAAATTTAAAATCTACAAACTTTCTAAATATGAAATATCAAATGATCCAGGATATTTATTAATTAAATACCAACAAATTCTTGGTGCTTCAATATTTGTTAGATTGTGGAATGATATACCATTATTTATAACTTGCAAAGAATAATGATTAACAGGTTTTGCTACACATATAGCAAAGTGATTTGCAGTTGATGTTGATACTGTATTTGGCCTTCAGTTTTCATGAATTGAATGGTAATCATCGATATTGTATATATGGAACACATTTTTCTAAAAAAAAAAGAAAAATTAATATATAATTGTTTTTATAATATGTATATATTATTTAATTTATTAATAATTTATTTACATTTTCTAAAAAATATTGTTCAATGTTTGTTACATGTTTTTTTTAATATTATTGTAAAACTCCTCTACTGTTTTGGCACATGCGGAATATCCTAAATTTGATATTGTATCAATAGTCCCCATGTTGCTCCAGATGCCCTCAGATATAATCCAACTTCTATTTTATATTGATTAACAAATTTGTTTCATAAACTTGCTATAATATAACATAATCTGATTATTGACTTTTTAGCTTCACTTATGTTGTAAGCTGAGCACTCTTTAGAAATAATTGTATTCATCATATTATTAAAAAAAACCTTTAAGTTGAGGGTTAGCCTCTTCAATCATATGTTCAAATTTTACTGGATCTAATTGCAAACCAGTACATTCTCAACATTGCTAATAGTACAACACCTTCATTAGCATTTGTATATTTGAAGCAAATGTAAAACCTAAGATTAAAAATTTGATTAATTTATTTATAGATAAAAAAATTAATACAAAATATTTGTATTACCTAAATCATTATTATTTAATCTAAGATTTGTTAGTTCCAACTCTTCAGATGACCATTGGTGCTGATTTGTTGCTACTAAGTTTGTGGTGATCATTACTGAAGTGATTGCTATTGCATTAGAGGTAATGGTTTCTACCAATTCAGCATTATTTTGCAAAGTTTTTTTTTGGCTGTATTTTTTTGTTGTTTTATGCTTCTGACCTCTGTCAGCTTCTATTACCTTGCAGTAGTGAGGGTGGCAAAGTTGTTGCCCGACTTTAAAGTAAGGATATGCTTTCAGCGTTTGTTTCTCATAGCACTTACTATACGCAAGCTCCGTAATTACACGAAATCTAATACTAGTAAATGTACAATCAATTATTGAACAGGGACCACGATTTTTAGTTTCCATTAACTGTTTAAGATTTTTTTTTTTTTTAATCGCAATTTTTATATAACAATAACAGCCAATCACATTTAAAGAAAATCATCAAACATTGTAGCCAATCACAGAGAACTTCTGTTATGCTGTAAAATTCCTAATTGGTTAACCGAATTAGCTTACCCGAATACAATCGGCTCAACTATATTATTTCTATTTATTTGATTGGTTAATTTTTATAGGTCAATCCGTGATTACTCGTAACAATCAACCCAATCAAATTACAATATTTTTATATTCGAAAACGAAAATCTATGTAAATCGATAAATATACACAAAAAAAAAATTTTTTTATTTATATGACTAGAACATATATACATATAAAATGCCAAAAAAAAAGCACATTATGTTTATATATAAATATTATTTATAAACCCAATCTATCAATAGACCTGAGAACGTTGCTTTTTCATTTTAACTAAAGTTATACCTGCTATACCAAGCTAAATGATTAGTAATAGTTGTTTTAAATTAACATAGTTTGAGTCTTTAACAAACGCATTTCGGTTACCTTTTTTTTAGTTGGTTGACTGTCTACAGTCTTTATATAAAATAATATCGTATGGCCCAATAAAAAATAAATATTTTTGTCTTCTAAGCAAAGTCTGAGGTTCCCGATCTTTTCGCAGATGTGACTTTAACACTACTTTGTTAGTGAAACGTGAATTTCCTTATGTCAAGAAAATCCCGAGCTGCCGGCCAAAAAGATATGGGTCGTAGTATATCAAAAATTCTCTATATATCTAACATTAACAATCGTGTTTTATAAGTAAAATTTCATTCTGAAAACTTTTACTTAGAGGTCGGAAGTTAGTCATCATAGTAAATTTTTGTGTTATTTACGGTTTTTTACAATTTCTTATGTTTTTCGCGTTTGTTTTGTTACACGAGATCCTGTGATTTTATTGGAGATTTTCTTGACATAAGGGTACCCCATGAAACGTTACGTTCCTAAAATAAGTTACCTGGGCAATTGATCTACATCAGCCAATCAGATGAATGTCGTCCTATGAGGTCGATGTTGCATTTACAAGTTTTCTTCAAAAGGAAAAAAAAATGAACGAAGAAATGGTTATATAAACAGCTTAGGTTTTTGACCATGTTTTCTTAAAAAATGTCACCATTTGAATTAATTCTTCATGGCCTTAAATTATCCCTCAAGGATTTTATTAAAAAACATCTTCCCATCAGATCCACTACGAACTGCAAAATACAAGTTTTAAACTCAACGAACGATCTTCAATGAAAGAAAAGGATACAATGCATTGTATACAAAACACAAAAGATACCTAAAGGTGAATTCCCAAATGGTTCTACGAACTGCAAAATACGGGTTTTAAACTCGACGAACGATAAAATCTTCAATGAAAGAAAAGGATAATTACTTAAATATTTCATTTACCAATTTCTTGAAAAAACGGAATCATTTCATTCATTAATAAAACGCTCGTTTATCTTAATAAAATAATATGCCTAGTATGTCCGATGGAAACATTGATCTTCACGATCAATATAAACTTTTAATTTTTTTGATCCAGAGTAAATGGTAAGAATTTCTTAAATATGTGTTAGTGAATATTTGCTCATAAATATTCACAATGATCTTTTGACAATCGGTGTGTAAGTTACGCTGCGGTTGAGTGAGACACAGACAGGTGGTGGTCTAGACGCTGTGGGGTCTCAGGTTGATTACATAAATTCCAACTGCTAATTACTTGTGTAGCGCCCGTGTAGACATTTAGATTGGTTCAACATGTATTATTTTATTTTATTTCTTATTTATTAGGTTAAATCTGAAGTAAAATTCTTGTCAAAGATTTACGTGAATTCTTGAATACAAACAATCAGAAACATCTGTAGCTTTCTCCTTTCGAATGTTGAATTGAGTGATAGTGCTAGAATAGAATTAGAAAATTCTCCTATTAAGGAACGTATCTGTGTGTGTTTTTACTATGAGATCGTTGATAAAAATTTTGAATATACACAAATATTGGAAGAGAAACAAGACAAACTTAAAAAATAAAATGAGGAAATGAAAAGAAAAGCCGATGAATTAAAAGCTGAGAACAAATTTCTTCGAAAACAAAATAAAAGAATCAAAGAATTCCAAAGCCAAATTGAAGAAGTCGTTGAACTCAAAGAAAAGACTGTAATTCAAAAATCAAGACATTAAGGAACATTTATAATCAATCCAGCGAATTTAAAAACCAAAATCAAGAAATGAAGGAAAAACTTGAAAACCAATCGTGTGATTGCCATTAGTTCAAATAGTTGTTTCATACTCTCATCAACAGACGTATGGAATTATTCGATATCAGTCAAGCATAAAACTTCTACCTCACATAACACCACCTGTTATATCAATCACTGATTCATCTTCATTTCACCATATTCTGCAAACTCTGGAATGGTGATAACACAAGCGATTATAAAAATCATTAGTTATATGAATCTAAAGTTATCAAGTTTATTAAAAGTGTTTGAGAAGAATTCAGTAAACAATATAAGCATGCTACAGGCATATCCATTATGTATAAATAGTTTTGAATCTGTTGTGAAAAAGTTGTTAGGTTTATTTTATTTTATTTTTCTTTATAATTATTATAGTCACGAAATTTATTAATTTACATATTTATTTTCTTTTATTTCTACAAATTAGCTTTTTTTCGATTCTTCACTAATTTCTGAATCAGAAAAAAACGAAATTATTATAACGCTTGCAAACGCTTTCGCATCTTTGATCACGGCGATTCATATTATTAGCATGAGGATTTTGAATGATACGTTACAAGACAATGATTCTACTAATAATCACTCTAATGTTGCAAATGTAAAAATCATGATCCACGTGATGCAATAGCTAAAATTTAGATCCACAATTAAGGGATACAGTTTCGTTGACCGCAGTAAAGGAGTGTGTATGAAGAATTTGGTATTATTAATGAAAATTCGTCAAGAAAATAGTTATTCTGTAATAACTATACCGATTTTGTCTACCTATCAAGCTATTGCATTATTAATGCAAGTTTCCACATTGTTGACAAAGAAAGGTGCTGAAATTAGAGATGTTGTGCGTAAAGATAGTGTTTATGGGTTCTTGAAGAAATCTTGGGTAAAAAAAATTGTATTTTGGATATAGCGAGAAAAGAAATGCTAACGGGTATGAAATTTGCTAATATTCCTATTTTGTGTTAATTTATGTAATGTGGCTTTCTTTGTTTTTTTTTTGACCTTATTTCTTTATAGATAGATGAAACTCGCAAAAACATTTCTACTCTTTTGGAAGGGCCTCTTGCATGTAACAAGCGCGCATCTTTGCATGGTGAATGTAAATCTTTAATTTTTAATTAGGAACTTTCTAAATGCTCATATTTGTGAATATTTCATTAAAAATCATTTAATATTACTTATTTTTAAGTCTATCATGTCTAACATAAAGATTTGATTATTTTTATATTTTATCCGACTATTACAGTTAAAAGCTTATATTTTTACTAACTATAGCTTACCATTATCTTTCTCATAAGGGTTCCACCTCGTCGTTATGTAAAATAGTCAACTACGTACATATAAATATGTACGTATATATTTAGTGAATAAAGTGGCCGGGCCAGATCGGGCATAGGTCAGGGCGACCAGCCCAGGGGCCCTAAAATGTTCGATATTGATTCGTTTGTAAAGTAAGTTAGTAACAAGAAAATAATTGATTTTAAGTGAAAATCTACACTTTATTTATATTTAAATACCGTATTTGCGCGAAATAATATCCTGTGGATGTTATTTTAGAGGAATAGTAGTGTTAGCCGAAATTTTTTAGGTTAGAAATATTTCGACATTTATCATGCCGAAATTCTAAGTAATTAATGTCATGTCGAAATTCTAAACTATGGTGCGCCAAGTCACTTCTTATCAAAAAAACCACGTATTTTTTAAAAAGAATTTCTATTTGTACACTAGTGCATGAAACACAGGTATCTATATAACTTAAAATTTTACTAATAAAACATCCTCTGGGACTCTAATAAAAAAATCTGAAATTTTAGTACAAATTATATTCTAACCTAAACTTTAAACATTAATCTTAATATACAGCTTTAAACAAATTAATTTTTGTTTTTTTTTAATTTTGTGTTATGCAAATTTACAAATAATATTAGTGTGTTAAGAATTTTTTTTTTAAAAAATCTGGTATTTGTAAAAATGTATTTTGCATAAATTTCAAATATTATTAAATATATTTATTATATAATTAATATATTATTATTAGGGGTGTGGCAGCTTAGTGAAATGAATAAGTTGTCAACCTTTCAAGTAGTAGATTGTGAGTTCAAAATCTACTGACAGTGAAAATTTGAATAATTATCTATGTAATATATAGATGATATTATAGCAATAGTATTTTGTAGATCAGTTAAGATAAGACATCTATAACTATGATTGTATTAACATGACTGGCAGGTTATAGAGCATTTGTGCAATATTGGAATTATATAGAAGAATATAAACTAATATTAAATGGAGTAAAACTTAAAATAAGTTCTTGTGATCATATAAATCTATAAAATTAAAAAGTTGAAGTCTACTTAGAAAGACTTAAGTAGAAAGGTAGCACAGATTTTTGATAATACTATTGTAAAGACTAGACTTAGAAAATAGAAATCAATATGAAAGAAATCAGGTAAACAAGAACTTTGAATAAAAGGTATCATTAATTAGATTATTGAAAGTTTTGAACTGAAGGAAAAGGATTTTAAGAATTAGATCTTAGAATACTAAAAACAAGTTATAGTTCTTTCAGACTATTTGAAATAAGAGTCTGGAGTTAGAAGCAGAGGTATACTATAAATACTAAGGATATGTTATAAAGTTAGTGCTAGGATCTGGGTGAATTTTGCAAAAGCAAGTTCTGTTAATAAAGATTAAATATAAGTAGTTAGTTAGCAAGAAGACCTTTTAAAATCTTACAATCAGGTAACATATTTTGAAATATATAATAACTTGATAGATATATAGAAAGAAAGGTCAAAATTAGATTAGATAACACTTAGATGTATGAGAACTTATACATTATCTGTCAGTATAAGTATAAAGATTAGAGTATTTAAATAGATAATTTTTTAGCAAATTGTAGGTATAGTAGTTAGTATAGAATCTACTATGTGGGCAAACTACTTAATTAGATAACTAAAAGTTGTATATATAACTAGTTGTACATTTACTTTATACAAGTTATATAATCATAATTAAAATACTACAATATATATATTTTATATATATATATATATGATTTAAATTGTTTATTATATAAATGCTTGCATTTATCTAAGCAATATAGTTAAGTCTTTAATATTTCATCCTTCTACTTTTAATATATTCTTAAATTTTATTTCACATTCATCTTAATCTTTTCTTTCTAATTTAATTTATTTTAAAATTAATTCCTGATATATATAATAGATTAAATACCAAACTAATCTTTCATATATAATTACTAACAACCAAATCTAGGTGATTCTTGGCTACTTCTGTTGGTTTAGGTCACAGATAAACTAGTTTAAGCTTCTACTCTTTTTATATATTTTTAATAGTAAATTTATACTTTATGTAAAAATTTCAAATAAATATTTAATAAAGATAAAGGCATGATCTTATCATTAATATTAAAAAAACAAAAACAAATATATTTAAGTATATCATAAAGTATTATAATACAAAAATATAAAGTATAAGACCAGACAACTCTTTTTTGTAGATCTCTTGACCAAAAATTGTCAAGAAACAAAACAGTAAAAAACTTAAGAACTATATTAGAAAACAAGACTCTAATCTCTAATAAAAAAAGAAAAAACAGCAAAAGTTAAACTTAGGTAAAAGAAAATAACATAGGAATTCTCTTTACTAATTCTTAATTTCAAAATAAGAAAAAACAAAATATAAGAATAACAGAAAAACAGATTAGCAAACATCCTTTAGATGACTAATAAAAAAGTTATATCAAAAAAAATACATATTATATAGCAGAATTTAGAAGACAAAAAAAGCTATACCAAGATAATAACAAGAAACAACAATATTTTTAGCAAGAAAATAGAATTTTGGAGGAATTGACATTATCTTGAAAAAACAGAAAACAAAATATGTTATAACTGTAATAACAACAAACAATAATAAACAAATGTGACTCATTAGCTAATTAGATAGAATTAGTAATATAGTACTAATAATATACTAACAATATTACAAAAGCTTAATTTTAAGTACTAATTAGCTAAAAAAGAAAAATCTTAATTATGTCTGTTAGAATATAAACCAATAAATAAAAACTGCAATGCAGATATTATATCTTATATTAGATGAATAAGTAATAAAAATTAAAGACATATAAACTGTAGAATTTTGAACTAAGTTCTCAAGATTCCTACACAAAACTTAAGTAATATAGAGCATATTGCTAAAGACTTAGCAATATATAACCCAAAACATATTATGCCACATGACATGCTAGTATATAGTTAAATATTAGAAACCTTAGATTAGCAAAAACAAGTTGGCTTAAAAAAGAGATAATTAAGAAGTAGATGAAAAAGCTTAGATTAATAAACTTCAATTTAGACTTTTTTGAATATAATACAAATATAAACAAAGAAATAACATATCAAAAAAAAAAAAGAACAAATGACAAGCAAGACTAGTAATATTAGAAAAACAAATAAAAGGTTTCAGCATTATATATTACATCACCAAACAAACCAAACTGCTAATGAATCTAAAATAATAAAAAGTAATATATTATAAGAAATAGAAAAAAACAATAAAGACACAGATATGGAATTAGAAGAATAAGAAAAAGAACCAATAGATAAGGAAACCAGTGTCTTATTTTCTACAAGTACTATTGAGCATAGCTGATGGTCTTCAAAAAACAGAATATGTAATAAAAACAGATCTTTTAAGACAAATATGCTAACATATACTTTGTTAGATAAATTAAAAAAAAAGAGTAAAGTATGACCAGTAGATTTTAGAAATTAACTATTATATTAAAACAATCAAAGAAGTATTTAAAAATTGAAACAATTAAATAAAAGTAGATTTTGACTGTAAACATAGCAGAAATGCAGCAATAAACAGAATTAGAAGAAAAGAAAATGAATGACTTAAACTCATTCTAGAAGAGAATAAGAATAAAAGTCAAAAAACAAAGTAGCAAGAGAAACACAATACTAAAAAAAAGATGAAAAAGATATAAAACAAACAAAAAAGAATAAGGAACTAAGAAAAATAAAAGAAGTAAAAAAACAAGAAAAAGAAGGAAGAAAAAAAAACTCTATAAAGAAAAACATCATAATAGAAAATGATAATAATAAAGAAGAAGAAAAGAAGTTGCATAAAAAAAATGATTAACTATATAGAATCTATCACCAAACATTAATAAAAAAAAGATAAGATATATGTGCAAAAAATTAAAAAACTTATGAGTTAAGAGATCACTATATAAAGCATTTGTAGTAATAGTAGCAAGCTTAAAGAAAAAAGAAAATATTCTATAGGTATTGCTACTTGGCAACAACAAATTAGCATATATAACAAATGAAGATGAAGATTATAACCAAAAAGACAAATAAGGATAGTACATAGATAAATTGTTAAATATTTTAAGAGAAGGCTTAGAAGTGCTTCTATTATGATGTCTAAAAAACAAAAGTGCAAAAATATTATATATTTCATATAACAAAAATAGAAATCAAAAGAAGTTTGTAATAATTATCTTTATAAATACTCTAGTAGCAAAAAAAGCCCAAACAACACCAATATAGTACAATAACTACTGAGTAAGTTAGAAAAATTCTAAAAGAAAAAAGTACAAAAAAAAGATGAATCAAGAGTCAAAAAACAAGAAAGATCAAAAGTAGATAGTAAAAGACAAAAGATATTAAGAATCAAAAACATAATACAAGAAAAGCTAAGTAAAAGATATGATGAAATAAGTTTGGACTCTTAGATACAAAATATAAAAGAATAGTTAGGAGACAGAAATGTTAATATAAAAGTAAAAGAAGATAATTTAAAGAAAAGAAAACCAAAGCAGTTCTGCAAGATCAAGTGAAAACAATACAAGTAGAAGATGTTTTGTGCCAAATTTTAAATAGACTAAACAAAATAGAAAAATGCAACTAGATACAAGAAGTGGCCTAGCTAATTACTTTTAAAAACATCACAGTTAAACTAATAAATATAGACAAGAAGATCGAAGAGTTTTTGCAAAATAAAAGGGAAGTGTTTAAAAAAAGAAGAAAAGTAGAAACTTCTTGTAAAGAAAAAGAAATATGCAATAGAGAGAAAAAAAACCT